CTATTTGCTACAGCAATTAATTTCCAGTTTCTGAATTAAAATCCTTTTCAGAAGAAAGCCATTGTGAATCTTTTTGAATTGTCCTTGAAAATCATTAATGAATGATTTTCTTTCATTATTAGCCCTCGAACTGAGACTACTTGTTTTTAAAAAACTACTCAACATCTATTGCTAAAAATCTTAATGCAAAATATTTCTAGAGTTCCTCAAATTTATTCTTACCAGATATGCAAATCTGTTTAAAATGACATTTGCGAATTTGACACAACTTTTTATATATTCCTTACTATTTGAAATAACAAACACCACTTTTTTCTAATGCTTCAGAAATAACATTTATGTGTACCCACAGCAAAATTTGCAATTTTAAAGATACCCTTAATGTTTGAAGATATCTCTGAGATTATTATTATACTGGTAAAGAAATTACTCCACAACTGTGCATCCTAGTGAGAAATCATTTATTCAGCACTTGCTTTATTCTGTTCAATGAACGAAAAATTATAGGACTTTGAATTTTTTACCAAGGAAAATTTCATTGTAGAATGGGTTTGCAGTACATTGTAAACATTTCTACAAAAAATATAACTTTAGATTTGGACAATAGTCTTTTGATGATCTATTACAATGCCATTTTTGAAGAAAGGAAAAACAGTACAAAACTTCAAATAGATTTAGATTATGTATGATTTAATATCACTTTCAGTTTTCTAACTTGGAGACAAAAATAATAGTTTCATTCAAAGCTTTATTCTTAAATGACTGAAGTAATCCTAGATACAATTGTCATTTCATCTTCGTACTTATACTACATTATAGAAGCTTTATAGAGGTGTCTATCTACCTATCTACATACACACACACAGAGTTATATACCTAATGCCTATTCAGTTTTATTTATTGAGAATGGAGTTGAAGAAGTTTGCGTTCATCATTTTTCCTTTCTGTGACCTTTTTCCCCCTGCAAAAAGCTTCTTTCAACAACTAGACCACATGCCCACTCAATCTTTCATGTTTGGAAACATGCTTTCTTAAAGGATGTGATAAACTAATTTATTTCAACATGTGAATAATGGATAAGATTTTTATTACCTTTGGAAGAGAGAGTTTCATTTTGCATTGAATAAAGGAACAGTCCTTTTAAAACCAACTGATCTCTAACCGCGGAATTCTTTCAGAAATCAATGAACAGGTGAGGGAAGTATTTTGAAGGAAATATATTTACTGTTTTGATAGAAGTGGAATGCTATGTACAAGTACTGTGCAAGGTAATAGGGTGAAATTGCATCACATAAGCAGTCACCTACAATATTTAAGTATAAGACTAGCCATAAATCCTGTCAATATACTTTCTGGGTTAACTCACACTTCATCTTGCCTTATGTGGTAATATAATAAGTTCAGGGGATAAATATAAGCAGCTATCTGAAGTCAGTATATTTTTTTCCCACATAAATTCAGATGATAAAAGTAAAAGGAAAGGACTACAATATGTTGTTTAGCCTACTTTAGGAGCAAGTTGGTGAAGATTAGACAGCATCGTAAGACACGAAAGAGTGAGACAGGAGAGAAAGAGCTACAATTGCAAAGTTATCTTTTTAACACCTCACTAGCATTTTAATGGAATTATGTTCTTCACCTAGATGCCTACATGAAGCATAGCTAAAAATTGATAATATTGGGTTTTTATGTTCCTCATTAAATTTCATTGTGCTAAACAAAAAGTAGTGATAAAATTTATGTGCTATTTGTTGATATAAATTGAATCTGTCTTATTACTTAATATATATTCTTTGAATTCATGTTTGTGTCTCAAGCATAAAGTCATAGGAATATCATCTTTGTCAATGTTCTCTGAAATCGGACATCACAGAAAGGACTAAGATGTTCCAGTAACAGACCATCAGGTTCTTCTAACTGCTTAAAAATGATAATTCTTAAAAACTTTAGAACTCTGTCTCTAATTTTCTAGAAGCTTCCTGGATTAGACAAGAAAGAAACAACAATATCAAAAATCAATACTATTTATAACATAGACATAATTTTTCACAGTAACTAGAAAATATATTGCAACTCGAATCCTATATTCATATTTAGAATGAAAAACTCTCAAGTTAGTGTAGCCCATTAGTAGAACATAAATTATGGAGATACTCTAATGAAGCTTTTATTCCTATTTTTAGTGCCAGTAAATGGAGATGAATTTTATGAGTTATTAAAACTTTTATAAACACCAGACCACACCTCAAAGCACTTTCACACTTTTGTATTAGTTACTGCAATCTAAAAAGTACCTACCTGTATATGACAAATAACACAAAAGCAACTGTCTGATGATCTGGTGTGTACACAATTCAATTCATCAACAGTTAAATTTAATGAAGAATCTAACTTACCGGTGGCTCAGCCCCCTTAGAACCAGTCAGCCCTCCTGTTAGGGATTCGATATCCTGAAAAGGGGAGAGGTGTTGATTGTAAAATGCTACTCGACAGCATGGAGAATCCCCAAGTCCCACAGTGTAGTAACTTATTCAGCTGCAAAGTTAAGACATACTAGCTACTTTTTTTTTTTTTTACAGCCTTGCACACTGTAATAGTATACAAATAGCCCCATATCTAAAGAGCTAGATATTCTCTCCAACTCTGTACAATCTATAAAAAGAAAAAAATATAAACAGACTAATTATTCTTGAACTATGCAAAGAAAATAGCTCTAGACAGGAAAGTAGATGTTTCATCTTTAAAGAGCTGAAGTGAGGGCAGAACAGAAAAAAGAAAATGTAAGAAAACTGCAATTTAACACATAATTTTCAAGAATATTAATCCCATGGAAAATGTTTTATTATTAAAAATCATTTTAACTTTTACAGATATATAATTGTATATATTTATGGGGTACATGTGATATTTTGATACAAGCATACAATGTGTAATAATCAAATCAGGGTAATTGGGATATCCATCACCTCAAAAATTTATCATTCATTTGTGCTGAGAACATCCCAAATCCACTCTTCTAGCTATTTTGAAATATACAAAATATACAATTGTTAACTATAGTCACCCTATTGTGCTACTGAACACTTATTCTTTCTTTTTTTGGAGACAGAGTCTCACTCTGTTGCTCTGGGTAACAGGCATTATCACAGCTCACTGTAACCTCAAACTCCTGGGCTCAAATGATCCTCCTGTTTCAGCCTCCTGAGTAGTTGGGACTACAAGAGCATGCACCACTCATGGCTGATTTTTTTCTATTTTTGTTAGAGAAGGGGTCTTGCTGTTGTTCAGGCTGGTCTCGAACTCCTGAGCTCAAACAATCCTCCTGTCTCAGCCTCCCAGAGTGCTGGATGACTGGCATGAGCTACTGCGCCCAACCTAGATCTCATTCTTTCTAACTGTATTATTGTGCCCATTAACCAACCCTTGTTTATCCTCCCTCCCTAATACCCTCCCATCCTCTGGTAACCACCATTCTATTCACTACCTCCATGTAACCAGTGATTTTTAGCTCCCACATATGAGTGAGAACATATGACATTTGTCTCTCTGTGTCTGGCTTATTTCACTTAATGTCTTCCAGTTCCATCCATGGTGTTGCCATTTTTAAAAAAATTATCTATGGTCCACTCTATTCCTATATATACACGATAAAAACATAAAGAGTTATGGATATATTAACTGTTCTTTTACAAAGATCGATTTCTAACTTTGAAATAGTAACTAAAGAAGGTCATGCCTGAGTAATGATTGTAATTGTTGAAGTTATCATAAATGGAGAAATGGGTGATGCTGTGGTAAACTGCAGAGGCTTTTGACCTGTTTATACCCACAACTACAACTCAACCACATCAGTTCTAGGGCTTTGGTTCTAGGATTGCTAATCATATGACTTTTGCAAAAGAAGCTGGAATTCCAGGTTTTACAATAAAACAATCCAGGTTTTTAATGTTTGCAACCAATTTAATTTTTAAACCACCGTCCATCCCTCCCAAATGGGAAAAAAA